TTCTTACCGGCCACGTTTCACTGTCATAAAGTAGGACGGAACGAACTGCTGAGCAGTAGACCCGTCCTTTGGTTGTTAGACAGATATTTCGCCTACGCCATAAATGACGCAAGTTGGCAAAAGCTAGTCGAGCCTTGTGTATCTGTGCTGAGATTTCGTCACACACCAGATTACAAGGGCTGATGAGACGCCTGAGATAAGTGAAACAGTCGACACGCTCAACCACTTCACTCCCCATCATTAGTTCGGGTGTCGATGCAACCCAATTCTGAAGCTAAATTTCGCGTTTCGAGGGGGAGAAATGCAATTCTAAATCTTGTCAAATCTAATTCGAACTGTAATAATGAAATAAAATGTATATTCAGACAAAAAACAAAATACGAACAAATAACCATGCAGAAAAACAATGTGTCCTACCGGTAAAAAATTGTATAAAGTAAATTTTAGTAAAATCTTGAATCAAGTTAATCTATTCAACATTTCGTTCAGATATTTGAATGAATTATATTTACTTTAACTCCGCCTAAAGCCCCTCTAGGACTACTACCGGTCCCAAGCCCGGACAAAGGATTGTCGAGCATGAGGTTAACGACCATATCCCGTAGAAAATTAACTCGCTAAAAAACTCTAGCCAGAAAAATAATTCGAACCATCTAAACTCTGCCTTGGAAGTTAAAAGGCCTTCATTTAGAAGAGTTATGACGCCTTATGTTCCTTCAGAAGACATGAGGTTGATGTCCCTTCTGATAACCAGAGCAACCATTTAGGTACATGGAATGCTCGTAAAATGTGGGAGACCGAGAGAGCTATCCAAATTGCTGCAGAAATGAAAAAATACAACCTAGAGGCACTTAGGATCAGTGAAACACATTGGACATAGGTTGGATCGTGACTTTAAATCTCGAACTAAACAGTTAAGTTTTATGGATTGTAATCGATTATTTAATTAGTAAACTGAATAGAAATAGTGAAGATTTGAAGTATCAGTATGAACTTATAATTTCAAATGTAATAAAATCTTACTAGTTTTAGATTTCGCCAACTCTTTTTATTTTCGAATTATCGACTATATGTATGTTCGTGTGTGTACGTATGTATGTTCCTAAATTATATTTCAGTTTTTATCGCTTGTTTACATTTCGAACTATAGTGTAACTCACTATGAATTATGATTGTGTCCAGGATTGATCCCTAGGAACTATTAAGTAATCTTATATTACAACGAAGTACTTATTTAAACTTCGCTGATATTTAATAGTTAGCTCACGTTTTCTACAATACGAAATTAGTAGAAAAAGACTTACTGTAAAATAAAAACACTCATGATCTTAATCATTGAAATTACTGTAATATCCACAAAACCCATCTGATATTAATCAACATATGCTCACTAGTGACTGGCTTCATGAGGTATATCCTGGAGTTCTAGTGAGAAGTAGTGACCAGTGGAGTTCAACCAGGTCTGTTGTGAGATACGAACTCACTGATGACAATCGTGGATGTGTCGCTCAATTTCGTGGATTAGTTGAAGTTAGACATTAACACCATTGGATGCCGGCTCAGTGGTCTAGTGGTTAAGTGCTCACACGCCAAACCAGTTGGTCCTGGGTTCGAATCTGGCAGGGGACGGGGTCATGGGTGCACACTGCTGAGGAGTCCCACAATAAAGCGAAACGGCTGTCTAGTGCTTTCAAGCTTTCCATGGTGGTCTAGCTTCAACTGACTCATGATTTTAACCATTGAAATTACTGTAATATCCACAAAACTCATCTGATATTAAACAACAATAGAATCTAATTATGCAACATGTGATTGTAACCAATTATAAAAATTGATTACATAATGTAAAATCGCATCATATATTTCATTTACAGATTAAAAAATATTTAAAATTAGGTCTATTTAACTAACATGTTGCTTCATTCAGTGTAAAATTTAAAATATGGATTTATTTAAACTAAAACTTGGACAATTTTTATTCTTGTCTCCTCTAAACAAAATGTTCTTTTTTGTGTAAAACAAACAAACAAAACATACAAAAGAGTAAATGAAAGAAGTCCGGAAAGGAAGTCAAGTATAAATATGGATATATTCTTACGTAAATAGTTACTATCCTATGACTTTAAAAAATGTTTAATGATATAATTTAACACCTTTGTTGTTCCTATTCTTCAATTTTATGTATGTGATGTTAAGTTATTTAGACTAGTGGTAACATCTCAATTGATAGAAATCTATCACATTGAAGATTCAATATACAACACATTAATTACTTATCAATGTCAATATAAGTCGGTTTCCATTCAGATAGTTGAGTGGTAACATCATACACTGTGAAACAGGGTAGTTTGACTTCGAATCCATCAAGGGTATTCACACCGCTTATGATTTCAAAAGCTGATTAGCGTCAATTCGCGCGAAACTTAGCTCCATCAGGGTGTCCGACAGGATACTTTTATCCACCTAACACCAAGATATGGTTCATCCAATGTCAGTTGATGGTCACTAGTAGTCATATTGCAAGATCATTGATAAATTTCCATCACCATTAAATACTACTACTGTGGTGTGGGTTACTTCTATCCACATAAGTAGTACATGACGGTGGTCAGACACACAATGTATTTCAGAAGAACGTCGATGAGAAGAGAACGGGAATGAAACGCCGTTGGTATGAAAATGCAAAAACAATGAAGTCTGAGTCATTTTGAAACAACTGATGAACATTTGCAAATTAGGCATTTACTTTATGATTGTTAGTTTTTATTAACAAGTCCTGTAATTTTGTGTCAAATACATCCGGTTATCCCCACTGGTGTTCTTGTTCACTACACTACTACTGAGGAATCAGTTTACATATGTATGATTAGAGTATGATATTTCATTTGGTCTAAATGAAAGTGGATCAACCACAAATCCGAGTAAATATTTAACGACACGAACTAAGATCAACTTAGATGCTATTGAATCAACAATGAACAATTCTTTGAGATTTCAATAAATAATGAAGATTATCTATATTCAACTACTGAAATAAACTTCATTATTGTATTCATAAAGAAATTACTTATAATATATCTTCCCACGTGTACAAAACTATTTCTTTCTTTACTACATAATCTTCAATAAATAATTTGTCAAGATCTTAACTACTTAGAATGCTTAATGATTAGAACTATTATGTAAAATTTGTCATTATTTTATGCAAATTTAGGAAGTACACTAAACGGTTTGATGTTTTACATATATCTGGATATTTTTTTAAAACTGTATATGAGACTTAAACATCAAAACGATCTAATTATTTTGTAGAAGAAAAAAAAACAATGTTGTCTTGTAGTGGCTGTGCTTCGTTAACCAATCACCTTCGTAACCGTTATTATATATACCCAACGGTGTTTTAAATCAGAAAGCAAAGAGAAGCAGCAACTACAGTTTTATTAGCAGATAGCTCAGAACACAAAGTGGAGAGGCAAACGAGTGAGTCAGCGAGTCGAGTGAATAGGATTAAAGTGTACGTCCATATATACACATAGTGAAATAAATAAATCATCGTATCCATTAAACAGCTAATAGTAAAGCTAGCAGAATGAATATATGAGTAGGTAGTAACCAATTCTCAAGCATACATAATCATACATTCGCAACAATAATAAAGGTCCGTCAGTTAGCTACAACGTAGAACCAGGCACATATATGCATCAGTCCAAGTTGCCATACCGCATTAGCACAGCAAGATGAACACCGGATTCATAGAAGTAGTTAATTCAATGGTGATAATATATAAAAGCAAGATTGAATATAAGGATATAGTACAGGAAGATAGAATTAGTACGTAGAAAGATATGAAGCTATTTTAATCTCATAATTTAATGGAAGACAGAGAGTGTATACACTTACGACATTGTGTTCGATTCTGAGCCATGTCACCAAGAGTCTCCAACAATTGATTACGATAATCACGCGGATGACTCAGTTCGTTAAATATTTATTTATTTTGACACATAGATATTGGTACAACGAGGCACCAAATACATATGCGCCACACAGATCTCATATGATATGTATGAGGGCTGTGATACTGCCCGGGTACCCAAACCGAAGCAGGTGGTTTGCTTATAAGGCCACACCCGGAGCCTTCGACCTAAACGTCTGATCCACAAGGCAGTGGGGCATTGTAAGGAGATACAGTCCCATGGTAGCCGGTGACCAACGATTGGTTTATACGCCATTTGTTCCCGCAGGATACTGGAGCCCATGTGCACCATTGGTTTGGAATCCGGTTAAAGCGTTCGATTTTCGTCCTCTCAATTTCGTAAACACCTCCGCCACGAGAAGGCAGTGAGTAGGACTTCCCTGGCAGAGGTTATATACGCGTGGCCATGTGGGAGCATTTCGAGAGGGAGAGCGGACTCTTCTCACTCTCGGCCGTACCAGGGCATTCGGGGGCCTGAATATCTTCGTCTCAATCCTGTGTCGGGAGGAAATAACAATCTAGTTCCCCCTACTTTTCAATGGTTATTTAAGATGAATCAGTGATTTCAACTATAAAAATCCTTTCCGTTTTAAACATAAGATATTACTGCGCATTTCAAAACTATACATAAAGATATCATTGCTAATCATTTCTTTTGTATATAATTTTTTTTAAAAAAGAAAAGGAATACAATTTCGATGCTGTAATTAATCTTTGTTTTCAGATGATCGTCCAAACGACATTCCTATTCATTCATTTATAATTTACTAGTCAGGAGATGTAAGCAACTATATTGAGAGCAATAATGCATTAGATGATGGTTGGGTAAAATATAACTGTCATATTACGTGATCAAGTAATACATTATTAATAATAATTACTACTAATATTATGGTTACGTTAAAAACATTCTAATCCTATGTAAAACAATAATATTACGGTTATAAAAAACAAATTAAACAAGTAAAGATTGTCAGTTGAAAATGATTTCTAATAAAATACAATCATCAAATTAATATATTACATAACCAATTATGTAAATATATGGATAGGAATCCAGCTCCAGCTACGCCAATTGAATCAGATACAGTTGCCATTGCCATTGCAGATTCACGATAGATCGGAGAAGTCTATAAAGTTAAAAATATATGTATACAGATATGTATAAGATGTGAGAGTTGGTAAAACCTCTCCCTCTCTCTCTCTCTCTCTCTCTCTCTCTCTCTCTCTTATATATATATATATATATATATATATATATATATATTATATTTAATAGAAACATTTTGCAATGTTTACATGTTGAACTAGGAGGAATGTTTATTGCTAAGGTCTACGCAAACATAAAATTAGTTATCACTAATCAGTGATCAATTAATTATAAATATCTTAGTACTATAAGTCAGCCGTGGATGAAATAACTCAGTTGTATTTCAGAATGAAACTTGGTGACCAAGGATTTTAGTTATCAGGGAACATTAGCTTCCTGAAGACTCCAGGAATGTTTAGCTAACAAGCATCGATTAACTCAAAACATAAGTCAATCAGTTGTTTCCTGTCAACTACCTCCAACAGCCAAACACTGAGAGAATAGACAGATTAGTAGAAATTCCACTTCAGATTCAGTTGTATGGATTGAAATGGTAGTGTACTTCATTTATGTCATCCTATTACTAAATATGTAATAATGGACCAGTGATATAGTGGTTAAGACATTTGGTTCCCAACTACTAAACCTTAGATTCCAACTCCGCTACACTAACCTCGATTTAGGCAGCTGTCATATTACTGTGGTGTATGCTACTTATGTTGACAGATATAAGGAGTATGTAACACCAATCAGAAGTGAAATGCCCGGCAGCAGAAGATTGAATTAGAAAGAAAAAGAATGCAAACATAGAGCAACTGCAATAACAACAGAATTGAAAGAATGATGAAGCATGTAAAGGGCAACTGAAGGAAGATGTGCAAATTATGTATTTGATGCATGGTTATCATATTTTTTAAACGGACTCTGTAATTTCGCATATAATAAATTGGATTTCCCCACCTTCGTTCTCACATAAATTGTTAAGCTGAACGTTAAATACACCAAGCTGTACTTGGTGTACATATCAGTTGTATAAGGCATTAATAGTTGATGAATACAAACACAATGAAATCATTGATTAAGTGATTAAATCAGTCTTAAAAAATAAGAGGAAAGCCAATAATATATATATGGGTATTCATTTTTTGGCCGCTAAGTACCAAATTCGAAACTTGCTTGGCTTACTCTGATCTGGACGACAGGAAAGGTACACTAGCTCTATGTTTCGTCCTATTTGACAAGAACATTTCAACGATGACATCTCAGACTATGAAGCTGAATGAACCAAGTTTAAATCTCACAATGACCACTAATTCCCCAAAAGATTACAGGCATAGGTTGCTGAACAGTAACGACTAGTACGAAACTTTGGTTTAGCTATTTGCTTTAGACGAACTTTAACATCGTCAGAGTTTATTTATTACATTAAGTAGATTTCTGTATATAAGAATACAATACCAAAGAAAATATTTTTGTCATTATTGCCTATTAACTTACTTCTTGAAGAATATTATAAAATGTGTTAACATAAGTTAAACCACCCAGGCATCCTTCATAAAATATCACAATGAACATTATCCATATATATGGTATATAAGAATAGATCACTTGTAATAAACAAATTACAAAATTCATAGCCTGTTTGAATAATTGAACAAAAGAAATAATGATAATAGTTAATTATGAGTATATATTTTTTATTTATTAATTTTAACACATAGATATTGGTACAAGGACGCACCAGATACATATGCGCCACACAGATCTCATACGATATGTGTGAGGGCTGTGATACTGCCCGGGTGCCCAAACCGAAGCAGGTGGTTTGCTTAGGGGACCACACCTGGAGCCTTCGACCTACAGGTCTGATCCACAAGGCAGTGGGGCATTGTAAGGAATACAGTCCCATGGTAGCCGGTGACCAACAATTGGTTTATACTCCATTTGTTCCCGCGGGGTACTGGAGCCCATGTGCACTATTGGTTTGGAATCAGGGTTTTCCAACTCCCCTAGGTGGACTCTCCATGTCCACCAACCCGGTTAAAGCGCCGAACATTCGCCTTTCGTCCTCTCAATCTCGTCAACAACACCCCTGCCAAGAGAAGAAAGTGAGTAGGACTTCCCTGACAAAGGCTATATACGCGTCTGCCAGGGAAGTTCTATAAGTAATCAAACGTTATTAATATTATTCACAATCAACTTGTAGATATTTGAACACTTTTTGAAGCATGGATAATAAAATTAGTAACGATTAGTTAGTTTATTAATTGAGATTAACCTCAGTATTTTCAAATTACATTAAGTGTATTTTTTATTCAGTAATATTTTATACATTTTTATATATGCGTAACGTATATTGAAATGAAGTTTTCAGTTCGAGTAGTTGAAGTTATCTATAACTGTCTCCTATGAATATGTTAATGTAATTTATAGTTGAACATGTCGAATGAAAAGACATAAAAATGGTTAAACATAAAACTTGATGTAAAAATTAGTAGTCGTAAGTGTTGGATACAGTTCAGCCAGTTTGATTAAATAAATTGGTCAGAAATAAGATATATACTTTTGAAATTCTTTATAAATTTATGAAGAAGCACTCATATTATGACTACTTGTTGACTTCGTTCACGTAATTACTAGACTTTTCCAATATCATCAGTTTGGGGATTTGTGGAGATTGTAGTATTCTAACAAATGAATTCGCGAGTAGATTTAAGCTAGACCACTAGTGAAAACGTGAAAGCACCTGACGGCCGTTTCGTCCTAGCATGAGACTCTCAGCAGTGCACATCTACGATCCCACATGATAGGTACGAACACAAGACCCTCAGTCTAGCGCGTGAACGCTTAACCTCAACCAATAATATCATGGATAAATTGAAATTAGACATTAACATTGTTGGATGACGGCTTAGTAGTCTAGAGATTAGACGTTCGCACCCGACAACGGTTCTAGGTTCGATTTCCACATGCGGGTTATGGATGTGCACTGCTGAGGAGTCTCATACTAGGACGAGACGGCCGTCCAGTGTTTCCAGGTTTCCAATGGTGGTCTAGCTTAAATCGACTCGTGAATTCAACCTTTACAATACTACAATCTCCGAGAATCCCCATACTTATTTAATTTTGTATGGTGTCTAATAAAATCTGAATATTATGAAAAAATGAGGCGATCGTATCAGATTCTTGGTCATAATTAGACAGCTGTCATAACGAATTATAACAATCGTGATGATTGATTTGACCTGATAAAATTAAGAAAAACATATAGAATCATTCTTCATTACATATTACTGGTATTCCAGTAAACAAACCTATCAAAAACATTACTGGTGAACTGTTTGGATGGGATAGGTTCATAGTTATCCCTAGGTGTCAACAAAAATAACGAAGTCCAATTTCTAATAAAGTTGGATTGTAGATAAAGGTTGAATCTAGAACAAGTATTTAATTCTGCTTTGAACTGGTCAACCTGATGTACTTACGTCCTTGTGTTGAAGTTTGTACAAATCCTTACAAGCAAAGTTTATGACAATTGAACAACTAAGTAGCTATCTGGATCCAGTCACACAGTAGATAAATCATTGAAATTTGAAGCGAAAGTTACTGTTTGAGAATTACTGTGAACTTATGACTAAATGGTAATCTCAAGGTCATCCACTGTATACATCAATAACATATAGGATATTAAAAAAAGTGAATTTATCTATTGAAAAGGATATTAACTAAAATAATGAATTGCAAGGTTCTGGATTAAGTGCCTGACAGGATTGTGATTGCACAATATAAGAACAAGGTAGTTGCCCAGTGGTTCCTAGATTGAGGTAGTTCGCTAAATGATATCATTTTGTGGTGTAAGATGTATATATACAAAACATTTCCACAAAAATTTCGGGCACTGATAAAAAGGAAAGACTTGAAATAAACTGAAATTATTATCCTTTAGTAAGAATCCAGTCAAATTACTTCACCTAAAGCCCTACCATGCTGCTACCTTAATGTAATGGTCTGGCTTGAATATCGTGATGAACCAATCGGCTATAATGGTTGTAACAATCGTCCCTGAAGGTCCGACCATGTCCGAGGGCGAAGTTGTACCGCTGACTGTACAGAGGTGTGACAGCAGTAAGGTGTTTCCCTCAGACAACCAGCATGATAGTGATGCTGCCTTCTCACAAAGGAAGATTGGGGATAGAGAAGGTTGACCCTAAAAATGCCCACTCCGCCTTATCCCACGGATTTCCGTCTCTGGTGGTAAGGTTTCAACAAGTACGGATAACAAAAAAATTACCCACAAAAAACTCGTGTATAAACAGCCCTTGGGCACTGCGGCCACGCCCTCAGGTCACAAAGACCACCCTAACCCGATTTCATTTTCAGGTACCCTAGAAGAACCCTTCTACGGTGTGGACAACCGGGAAATGATAACCGCCCTCATACCTCTAACAGCACTCAGGAACACTGAATTCATGATCAATCCCTTCAATTCCTATAATTCCACCTACCTCGAATATCAACTCTAAACTTCCTTCTCAAGTATCATCATAGCCAACGATTCTAGTGCGCGAAATACTGTCCCAGGTCTACTGAAACTTCGCTTCAAACTACACATTGGAGCCTTCAACGTACGCACCCCATGTCAAAACGACCTGCAGATCTCTTTGGCTAGTACCCTAGAATTTCGTACAATTGATGTATGCTGTGTCTCCGAAACATACATACAGGATCTTAGTGTGTTTATTCACTTGACTTCATCTAGCGAAAACGGAGAGCCGACGAGATACACCCCCATGTATCTGGCGACCCGATGGCTAGTTCTAGTGGACTGGCAGGCGTAGGCATAGCACTGAGTACAAGGGCAGAACAAGCACCATTAGAATGGATCCCCGTTAACAGTCCTCTGTGTGCTGTCCGGCTAAACGGGTTCGCAAGAACTCGGCAGGATAGGACACGCGTCGTTTCTGCATATGCTCCCACTGACTGCAGCCTGGATGAAGTGAAAGATGAATTTTACAGAAAGCATTCTGAACTTCAAAAAACTAAACACCCAGACATAGTATTAGTAGCAGGTGACTTTAATGCCCAAATAAGTAGCTTAAAAAAACACAAAGACATTTGGGTGCGTATTTTAGTATTCCGATTCAGTGAACAAATAATAATGACCGTCTGCCGCAGCGGTGTTTAGGCAATCGTTTATTTTTGACAAGTACTAATTTTAGGCATAAGGAGTGATATCGTCTAACGGGACAACCCCTTGCACCAAACCAGCGATGGACTAAAATAGACCATACTGATATCAGTCATAGTTGGAGAGGTTCGATACTAGACTGCCGATCGTTCTGGAATACACGCCTCACTGAATGCAGAAAAGCCATATTAATACCAAACAGAGTTGATCTCAGCGATGAGAAAGCCAAAGGCAAACTCTAGGAACACCAGAAGTCACACTTAGGCTATTTCGAAAACGAGATTAACCCAGATATCGCCTGGAAAGATATAAGAACAGCTGTAGAAACAGCAGTGACATCCATTAGTGATTTTAACTCAAAGGTTACGAAAAGTCAGTGGATTTCTGCGACATCTGTTGCACTGATGGGTTCGCGTAAACTTATCCTATCACGATGAAAGTCAAAATAAATCAAATCTAGACTAACCAAAAGTCTACGGAACGATTGTGCGCAGTCTGAAAATGATGCATATACGTACCTGGTCCTACGTTATAGATTACTGTCTAACTTTATTTAAAAACAGATCAGTAGTAGAAAAAAAATTAATGAACTTACTTGTAGCAATGACATAATCCAAGTAGTCTTAAATTGAATAAAACTGACTGACGACCTTGATAAAAATACACCAATTTGATAAAGTACTTGATACCTATATTATTTGAATGAACAACAATGGTAACAACGAAATATTATAGTGAAATTTGAATTGTAACAATAAAAACAATACTTGAAGTAAACTGTTTTATAGTGGATAGATTGTATCTAGCAGTGAATGCATGTTTCGTCCTATACGGAATTCACTGATACCAGCTAGATTGTAGTGGTTTATCCTCGAGACATTTCTCATACTTCACACATCATTTACTTCGAAAATCGTTAATACGCTAAGTCCCAGGGACGTATAATTTTCGGAAGACAACTAAAAAGTGGTGACTACGGTTTATTATAGTACAGCACAGGTTAAACAACTGACAAGCATACGGTGCAAGATAATATGAGAATACGGATAAGAATCACTGAACTGATAGAATTTAAGAATTACATATATACAAACATTCTAATAGGTCATCAAGCGATTTACGTAACTAATATTTAAGCGAGTAAGAGGAGTATATGTGTAGGCTATATCATGTAATCAATCATACAATCAAGGGATGAATAGGAGCTGGGGATAAACTCCACATTTTAAAGTCATCCAAGTATATCGTAGTCAGTGTTGGGGACGTTAGATACCCAGAACTCACTTGGAAAAGGACCTAATTTTGTAATTTTATTCTGAAAAGTTAAATTTCTTTGTTTTCGCGCCAAAAGCGCTCTTTTTACCTTCATGTTGTATTTCTCACTTGGGAGAATCTTAAACGCTATTGGTCCGTTGTCTTTTAGTATGCTATTTTGTAACCCTTCCCAAGGACGGTTTTGTGCTGTATATATACGTTCTGATTTGTGTCTGTTGTTATCGCCCGTGCTTCTAGCTTTTTGTGGAATATAATTTCCCGTTTGGACTTCGACTTCTCTCTCTAGTTAGCGGGGCTGGGATGCAATAGAATAGCTAGTTTATTGGTTTTTGGTCACAAGTCTTTGTTCCGTTCGCAGTCTAAGTGAACTCGTAACTGCTTCAAACCTAGGAGTCAGCAATTGTGGTTATGTTTTCGTTTAATTAGTCACTCAATGATAGACATTTTGGAATACTTTCTGCTAAAGAATGAACTATGTTGTAATTTTTCTCCCATCGTGGCTGACTGCCCTACATTTGACATATCCGTCGCATAATGATGTGGTATTTTCTTTGCAGAAAACTCTAAATTTCACATGTAAGCCAGCAAAAGCAACAGATGACAAAACACGGCCTCCATAGTGGACTACGATGGTGTAAATAATATGTCCCGCTTCATTTTGATTGGTCATCAGGTGGAGTTTATCTTCATATATAATATGTTTTATTAAAATTCTGATCAAATTAAGTCATGAATAACGATAATCGAATAATTCAAACTAGAACTTCTTAAGTGAGTGTTTAAAAACAGTATACTGTTTTAGTACATATGCGGTACCTTCTTCTCAAAAGCTATCAAGACTGATGTCATCTTGGTGACAATGAAAACATATTTTAAAAAAAGAACTAGTCTCAACGATTCATTATCACAACAACGAAAGATTCAATTTGAAGCAATTAATTCATTCTATAGGTTTGGATAGAATAAATGAGAAAACCGAGTTGATCTGTAAAAATATGATACGGTGAAACTATAATTTATGGATAACCTTTGAGCAACCCTAAATTGATCCTGGAATGTTCACCTACTTACATATTAGGATTAAATATTAGTGTTAGGATTAGGATCTACAGCTGAACGTTGAGGTTAAAAATTAAATTAAATATTCCCATCACGAACTGACATAAACTATAATGCCAAAATGGTATTTAACCAAATGAGTGAATGCATTTCGCGCCAAAATCCAAGATCTGTTATATCTAATTGGTTCGTCCATAAATTGCCAAAGTTAATTCGACTCAAATGAGTGAAAGTCCAAATAAAAACACAAAGTGACAACTGTATATAAAGGAGAAACTTAATATAGTACGGAAATAATACATATACGTTTGAAGAAGACATAAAACTAATGATATTGAGTGATTGCGCATTAATGTTTATAAATCAGTGTAAAAATCAACTGACACTAATATTTTTTTAAATTCTACTGCAAAGAAAAGAATTTTATATCCCTCTATCATTTAGAAGTGAGTTAAACAGTATAGTTTTCAGACAGATACTAAAAGTAGCCATCAAGAAAACAGATTATGCTGTTATACTGGTTGTGATTGAAAAGACTATACTTAGGATTCCAAATAGACCTAAAAAAATGCACGAACGATCACGTCTCATCGTACGGTATACACCAATTTACATGTTTGTTTGGACACATATACAAAGGGAGGAGTAATCGAGCAATAAAATCAAATGTTATGGAACATAAGTCCAGATGGCCTTAGAACCAATTAGTGACGAATGATCCAATAAACGTGGATGTAGAAAACCATGTTCATTGATAGCGAAGCACATATTCGAAACGGGACATAAAATCGACATCAATAGAGCTTTTGAAATTTTGTATATAAATTGTCAAGAACGGATTCTCAGGTTTATAGAAAACTTGACTATTCGGAAATTCAGTCCTTAACCTTAATTGTAGAGAAATAACTTATCGTAACCTTGAATTTCTCTTGGTTCCCATAAAGCCACTTTCTGACCTAGAGTGGTGCGACAATCCCCATTCCCTATTGTATTAATTTACCTTTTCAATTATCATATAAAATGTTTTGATAGGTATATATGTGTCAAGATTGTTCAAAATGTATAGTCAGAATGGATGTTTGTGGAGTAATTTTTAATAGTTGAATTCATGAGTCAATTTAAGCTAGACCACCATGGAACACCTGGAAGCAGTGGACGGCCGTTTTGTCCTAGCATGGGACTCCTCAGCAGCGCGTATTCACGGTCCGCATGCGGGACTCGAATCCAGGATTCTCGGTCTCACGCGTGGATGCTTATACTCAAGACCAGTGAACCAGCATTCAACGGTGTTAATATCTAACTTCAATCGATCTATGATATCACGCCACCTTTCATCCATTGTCTGAGGTAAATACCTATCTTTACCCGACACAGATTGAACTCCACTGGCCACAGCATTCCACTATAACTCTAGGAAATCCATCTTGAAGCCATTCACTAGTCAGCAATAGTGAGAAGTGCATAAAGGTTTTCAATGGTGGTCTAGCTTAAATCGACTGATAAAATCAACTATCAAAATGTATAGCTCAAATGCATTACCTTTTTCGGATCGAATTGGTCTTTCAACTATGAAATCTCATCATTTAATCTCGCTTAGTCTACATTGACTTTGACAATCAGGTGGTAAGTAACATACAATTAGAAAATATAATTCAATGCTGATTACGGCGAGACTATAATTTATGAACAAACCAACAAGATATAAGATAAAAAGTCTTGGATGTTGGCACAAGATGTATTCGTCTATTTGACTAAATTACTTACTTACGCCTGTTACTCCTGATGGAGCATAGGCCGACGACCAGCATTCTCCAACACACTCTGTCCTGTACATTCTTCTCTAGTTCCATCCAATTCTTGTTCATTTTTCGCATGTCTATCTCCATTTCCCGGCGTAATGTGTTCTTTGGTCTTCCTCTCCTCCTTTGACCTTGAGCATTCCATGTGAAGGCTTGTCTTGTGTAACAGTTCGGTGCTTTCCTTAATGAGTGTCCTATCCACTTTCAGAGCTTCTTTCTCCGTAGGGATCTGGTTTCTCTCTCATAATAGGTTGTTGCTGATGGTGTTTATCCAACGGATCCGAAGTATTTTGCGTAGGCAATTGTTAATAAACACCTGTATTTTCTGGATGATGGCTTTTGTAGTTATCCAAGTTTCTAACCCATACAGTAGAACTGTCTCGACATTTGTATTGAAAATCCTGACCTTGGTGTTGGTCGACAGTTGTTTTGAGTTCCACATATCCTTCAGTTGTAGATATGCTGCTTTTGCTTTGCCGACCCACGCCTCCACATCTGCATCAGATCCACCCTGTTCATCAATGATGCTGCCCAGATATGTAAAGGTTTTTACATCTTCCAAATCTTCTCCGTCAATTGTGATTGGATTGGTGCATGCTGTGTTGTATCGGAGAATCCTGCTTTTCCCTTTGTGTATATTGAGAACTACTGCTGCTGAGGCTGCTGCCACACTGTTCGTTTTCTCCTGCATTTGTTGTTGCGTTTGTGATAGAAGGGCCAGATCATCTGCGAAGTCCAGATCATCCAGCTGCATCCTAGATGTCCATTGTATCCCGTGCTTCCCTTCAGATGTTGACGTCTTCATGATCCAGTCGATCACCAGAAGATAGAGAAAGGGTGAGAGTAGGCAACCTTGCCTAACACCGGCTTTTACCTCGAACGAGTCTGTCAACTGTCCTCCATGCACAATTTTGCAGTGTAATCCATCATATGAGTTCTGTATGATATTGACTATCTTCTGAGGCACGCCGTAGTGTCGAAGAAGTTTCCATAGTGTTGTTCTGTCCACGCTATCAAATGCCTTTTCGTAGTCAATGAAATTGATGTAGAGTGATGAATTCCATTCCATTGATTGTTCCACAATGATTCGTAGAGTTGCGATTTGGTCCGTACGCGATCTGTTCACGATCTATCCATAGGGAATCCTGCTTGTTGGTCTCGAAGTTTGGCGTCTACGCAGTCCTTCATTCTGTTTAACAGTACCCTGTTGAAGACTTTTCCCGGTATTGAGAGAAGAGTAATGCCACTGTAGTTATCACAGTTGCTGAGATCGCTTATCTTCGGCATTTCGACGAGACGTCCTTCTTTCCATTCTGTTGGTACTTGTTCCTCATCCCAAATCTTGCTGAAGAGAACGTGGAGTATCCTTGCAGTTACCGCTACGTCTGATTTCAGTGCCTCTGCTGGAATGTTGTCTGGTCCTGATGCTTTGCCACTCTTGATTTGTCTGATGGCCATGCTTATTTCTTCAACCGTTGGTGGGCCAACATTGATTGGGAAGTCCGTGGGTGCTGCTTCGATGTTGGATGGGTTCAGTGGGAATGGTCGATTCAAGAGTTCTTTATTTGGCTAAATAGCGTTTTCATATTTTAGTTTATGTCAATTCGTGATGAAAAACCTAAATTTAATTCCTAATTCCTTACATTGGTCTATAACACTCATTTAGTTTTAGTTAGTAGGTGAACATGTTTACGGTCACTTTAGGTCGTCCATAAATTATAATCTCAACCTGATTACGTAAACTTAGTGAATGAGTTTTAATTAATTAATTAATTAATTTTTCATTGAGTAATTACTTAGTCAAAAAATTAAAGTAGAAATATTTTCATGAACTGATAAATTTTTACTTAATTTTATTAGCTAATTTCTATATTATTGACATTAGATAAATTATTTCATGCACAGAAACACGGCAATCAAATTTATTGTCTTTTATACAATTTTTCATTTGCTTTGAGCCTTATCAATAAAATTTGATCTATTCAATCACGGTTAAATCGTCTGTTTTTTTTCTACTGGGGATGGGGGGTGGGGGGTGTAATGATTGTAGTAATCATATATCAGCATATAATGAGTTCTAATCTTCGAAAAAAAACACATTGAAAATCTATTAACAGGAAAAGAGTAAGAGAAAAAGGCGGGGTAGTGGTTCAATAGTTAAGTCGTTCGACTTTTAGTCACTAAGTTGAACATTCAAGCATCATTTTATCTACTTCAGTCTGGGAAACTGGATTGTACCACTAGCCACAATCACACTCAAAGCGTGACTCGAAGATAAGTACACGAATCTGTATCTAGTAAATGAGTAAATATAGTATGGTATAGTCCAAATCTTAACCAACCCTAATATAGATGAGAAATAATCAAGTAATCAGACATAATATAACACGACATAATGTTTAAAAGTATATGAACAAGCAGACAGAATAGCCATAAGTGAGTATAACAATTACAAACTGCTTAAACAAGGTGAGAATTTAACGTAGACTAATTTGAGTTCATCGGTTTTTATTAGTTGCTGCTCAAAACCGTAAAACACAAGATTAAGTAATAATTATTGATGACTGGAAAAATGAAGTAACAAAGATTATTAATAGCATATATATGCAAGTGTAGAATCATATGAAGATAGATAAAGGAGACAATAATTATCTAGAATTTGAGAATGATCAAAATATTCATAGGTAAATAGGTTGAAAATGTTGAAATTGTTATATTCGTCGAATTGGATGGCTTAACTATGACAGTTTCATACACTTTTTGGACAGCAACAACAATAACATATATCTTAAAAAAGAAGTTAGTTATTAGAAACTCTCCACAGTTAGTTAATAGTTTGCCTTATTGATATACAAGTCTCAAATGACACATTTTAAACTAGAATCTGTCTTATAATAATACACAACACATTAATTAAAATTTCTGAACAGTAACACTTGAATCTGATAATTATGTTATTAAATGTGTATTAGTTTACTAAATACATAATGTATGTTTATATCCTTAATTAAAAATATTTTGATACTTATGCGTTGTTGTCCACTTGATCTAGTAATGCCAGTGTGTACATTTAGGTCTTTAGTAAAATATATTCATTTATCTCTAGTTTAAACAACACTTTCAATGAGCTCTGGGAGCAAATCAATGAAAAAACAAAACGGTATCACCACACTATGGACAATAATAATAACAATTGTTTAGTGTATCATCAAGTATTAAACTGGCATGGTAAGTTAACATCAGTCAGTCAGTAACAACGTAGAACTTCGTACGTACGTACATCAGTTCGAGTTGCCACACCACATTAGCACAGAGATGCAGTTGTCGATTCAAATCCCGTAGTGGTAGAGGTAGCAAGAGTATAAGCAGTAATCGGGAAGATTAGGGTTTGGAGATGTTATTTAAAGAGTATAATCCAGTGAAATAAATTTGGAAGGAGGAAAAAAGGGACATTCTATAATAGTAATAATAATAACATGGACAGCAAACAAAAGTAAACTTTTAAACTTTGCTTCAGCGAAAATAATTCATTGACTGTATATATATAGCAAAACAACATACAAATGTGTGAGAAAACTAATAATAACGGCGATAAAACAAATGACAAAAGCAAGAAATTCTCAAAAAAAAAATAAAATTAACTCATTCTCCAAGTACCTAACTTTGAGCCACACTCGAATTGTAGGAACTAATGATACTATTCAGTTGACTAAGCTGAAGTAGATGAAGCGGGGCTCGAAAATACGATTCAGTGGCTGAAATTCGAAAGAACTAATCACTTAATTACCTTTCCATAATTTATATCACGGACTGATTTTAAGCATCCAGTGAACAACAAGAAGCACGAAACAACTATTTCATCCTAGTGTAGGACTCCTCAGAGGTGAAGATTCACAACTCGAGAGGACCAAACTCACGATTTTCAGGTCTAGCAGTATGTTTTTAACCTTTCGACCACTAAGTTCGCTTCTAATAGTTTACATATCTAATTTCAAACAATTCACAATATTGTGCAAACAAATTTCATCAACGTTATTGATAGGCAACTGCTTCACACTCGACGAACAAAATTCCGCGGGTAACAGTTTTTCACAAGAACTCATGGAGTTATCTCGGTGAGACTATAATTCATGGACGACCTTTGAACGACGCTCATGTGACCTTGAGAACGCCTACCTACTGAGCGGGGCTAAATGAGGGTTATAAAGCAGTGTGAAGAATGAGGATTATGATTTACAGTTGATGGTAAGGGTTAGGATTGATTTATGGTTTTCATCACGAACTGACATCAGCTAAAATGACTCAATACCAATTAAAGAACCAACACATAGAAGCTGACCTAATTAGCGAGCACATGATTGTTAATTATTTGGTTATGTAGATTATCTTGATTCGAAGACTACTGTTGCATCATATGCTTTAAAAAACGTTGATTCACTAAAATGAATCCACAAAAATTCGAGACAAATAACAAGCTCATCTCCTAAACAAAAGCTTGTCATCACACGTTTCATGTAAATGATTCTTAGCTATGAGTAAAATAATTTGAAAATATCATTTACATCACTTTGATGTACAGAGGAAACAAATATTTTCATATAAAAACCCGAAGCGTAAAAAATACAGAAATTTCTACACTTGTAAGGAGTTTCTGAACAGTCAAAAAATAAAAGTCGTTTTTTAAAGCTTTGAAACAAGTAATGAACTGGACTATAACTAGAAGTGGAGTTTAGGAGGAGTGTTTTATCCTGTCTGGTATTCAAGGGCTGGGTGTACCTGGATCCGTGTGTTAATATTTACAGAGAATCGAACCTAGCGCTTACTGTTACAAAATTCATCGAGTTATCCACTAAGCTACCGAGTCACACATTCTTTTGAGTCTACCGAAGCTCTGAACAAACAACTAAGTTATGTGTAAAAATTGGAATTTCAAAACAATAGATTTTGTCCAGGATACGATACTATTAATACACAAAAATATGCAAGATATTACACAAACAAATTCATGAGGTGTCTACGGCGTTTACCATGTCAACATATAGCGCAAATAGCACGATAAGAGATGAGACTAGTTTACGGACGAACCAATTACATAGCGAGTCTTAAACTTTTGCATGAAATTTGTTCATCCATACGGCTGAATGGCATTTAGGCATTATACCTGCTTCCAGTTCATGGGAGAAACCCTAACTATAAATCCCGATTTTGATTTCTCACAGTAATTTATAACCCTCTTTAGACTCTAAGTTTAATTTCCTCAGGGTTAATTTGGCGTCTTTTGAAAGTCGTTCATAACAACTACAGCTAAGTCAAAATGACAAAACTTGGCAGTGATCGAAACGGAGACTAAGAATACAAATGATACCTGTTAAAATTAAATCGAGAATTGAGTCCACAAAAATTCCAAGTAACTGCTACAACTCTAAAGAAGTTCCAATTACATTAGTGAATAAACTGAACGTCGCAGGTTCATGTAAACGCTTAGAAAAAGAATATAATAAATTGGGCTTACATCAAAAATGCTCAAAATAACTGAAAGTGAAGCAAGTTACTTAATGTTGATAAGTAGTATACTGTAATATGCAAAAGGTAGTCAGTTCAGGAGGAAATGGAGATCAGAAGTGCAAACAGAATTAGCGTAGACACTGAGTCGTTTACACCTATACTAATAATGTATAAAAACTGTTTAAAAAAAACACAAACTTCCGGGTCTATTAATATGTAATCGATCAATATTTCCGAGGGAATAAAAAAATAACACAATACTCTTAAACTGATTGGTAGCAAAGTGTAAAATACATTCGACTTCCGAACAATCAGTACTAACCTGGGACCCGATTACTCAATTGAATTCAATTCGGCAAGCTAAATGGTAGTAGTATCAAGGAACGGAGACGGACTATTAGGTACGATGTCACAGGTTCGAACCCCATCACGCTTACTTCCGTTTGGGTAACCGGTATCATTAGCTGCCTGGACTTAGAATGTGGCTTATACTCAAGTATCTGGTGACTGAATTAACTTAGTAGTGCGAAAATCTCTTACAGCAAATATCCTACTCAAATCCTTGTACATTTTTACTCACCATCTATATTGTTCTGGAGCAGTTAAACGTGTATTTTGAAAGTAAAGTAATTCAAACTGAAAAGAAACACGGAAATAAAAAAACAGTAGTAATAATTTCAACAAAGGAATAATATGAACAATCAATCGGAATAACGCATATAAGTGAAGAATATCGTTTTCAATTAGATCATCATCAGACGTTACTCTAAAATACATTAATATTTATATGAAAATATTAAACCAATCAAGGCAATTTATGAGTCAATGATCACAATGAAACAGATTGCATAACTAACTACACATAATGGGTGAGAAGACAAATTGATAGTAAGTGGGCATGTATACTAGTAATAGTGATAAGTATAATAAAATAACAAAAGTTCTGGTCAATAGTTCAGATGTGGATAAATAGACTTGAAAACAATAATCACAAAACATTGTCAAAATTACGCGATGAGAAGTGCGTAATTTATTATATACTGAAGAAGACAAGGACAGGGTGTCACAAACTTAATCTGAACACATAAACTAGGGGTTATGGGTCCGAATCCCTATAGCTTCTGTTATAAGTAAGAGACGAAACCGAACCGTAAGGAGAAATGACGGTGTACAATTCAGTTTTATCTATTACATGCCCACTGTCAACCAGGTGTGCCAAGACAGAGCTACGTATTGTTTTTGACTGGCCATTTCGAAACCAAGTAATAGACAAGATCTGACATAAAAGTCTGCTTACTAAACTTAACATATCTCATATAAGTTACAGATTTAGAGAAAGAATAATAGAAAAATACATATACGTTGCTGTGACTGATTTTGAGTGATGTTGTATAATCAAAAAGGTATAGTGACTGAAAATAAGAAAAGACTATAACTATTGAATCAGTTACTTTACTTGGTGTTGCTATCCAGTGTATGTAAACAAAATTTCATCCAATAAATAAAGATTGGATAGATCAGTGATCAAATGACGATACTTGAACAATAATAGTTAATTCCATAGAGATATTATCCCCAAATGCCCTGGTACGGCTGAGGGTGGGGGGAGTCCGCTCTCTTTCTCTCTCGAAATGCCATCACATGGCTACTGCCAAAGAAGTCCTACTTACTGCCTTCTCGCGGCCGGGTGCTGTTTACGAAAATGAGAAGACGAAAATCGAATGTCCGGTGTTTTCTCTGGGTTAATGGATTTGGAGGATCCACCTAGAGAAGTTGGAAAATCCTGACTCCTAACCAATGGCTCCATGATCCTGAAGGAACAAATGGCGTATGAACCAATTATTGATCACTGGCTGCCATGAGACTGCATCACTTGACGTTGCTTCGCTGCCTTCCGAATCAGACCTTTAGGTCGGAGGCTCCGGGCGTGGCCCCCCAAGAAAATCACCTACTTCAGTATGGGCACCCGGACAGTATCACAGCCCCCACACAAATCAAGTGACTTGTGTGGCGCACTGAGTCGGCATCCAATGGTGTTAATGTTTAACTTAAACTAATCCACAAAATTGAGCGACGCATCCATATCCATATTTAAATTTGTCCCTAGTTTATTCCACAAACCATAAGCTTCCGTTTGATGTGATTCACTGCCATACCTTTTTCTGTTCCAAAGCTATTATAATTTAAGCACCAACTTTGGTACTGTTTTTTCTACCTTAATACCCAGTTTGGACGTAATTGTATTTTTCCAATTGTCTGTGAGTTGTGGTCGTGCTAGTAATCTATTTACTCACTAACCGGAAGAGGAAGTAAACCGCGCAGTGTTCCGGTTGGCTCGTCTTCTCTCTCTCTCGCATGTCAACCAATCACGTGATAGGATAGTTTTCATCTCTTTACCTAAGGTATTTAGTTTGCATTTCCAGCTCACACACTCTAGAATCAAGGTTAAACCCATTAGCCTATCGTTTAAAGGCCTTAACCTATATCGAGAAAAATTCTCTCCTGTATATTATTGGGTAGACAGATCGAGGATGCAACACATCCATTATTAGCTAAATTCTATATATATATCTATGTATATCCTGGAGTTCTAGTGAGAAGCAGTGACCAGTGGAGTTCAACCGGGTCTGTTGTGAGATAGTAACTCAATGATGACAATCGTGGATGTGTCGCTCAATTTTGTGGATTGGTTGAAGTTAGACATTAACACCGTTGGATGCTGCCTCAATGGTTTAGTGGTTAAGCGCTCACGCGCAAGGCGAGTTTATGGATGCGCACTGTTGAGGAGTCTCACAATAGGACGAAATGGCCGTCTAGTGCTTCTAGGTTTTCCATGGTGGTCTAGCTTCAATTGACTCATGATCTCAACCATTGAAATTACAACAATCTCCACAAAACCCCTTCTGATAAAATCTATCTATTGTAAAAGAACTTAAAACAAAATAGTTATATCAAGGCGATCCGCACAACATGAACATATGTTAACGCAGAACTATTCAAAATTAAGCGCTAAATATCAATAATGGGATAATTGAAAACCTTCATTAACTAGAACTAATATATTTCATTTACATAATATTAATAGTTTATAAATATATTGATACAATTTACTTACCAATGACTGATTAATTAAATATTCGAAGAAATAAACTGAAACTAGACAAAATAATGAACTAATCATTCCCTATATTGAATAAAAATTAACAAAAAAAGAGATAACAGTGATATGATAATATCGGAATTAAATTTTAATTTATTTTCCCGTTAATCAAAGGACTATAATCAGTCAAGAAAATACAGATTTAGACAGAACATTTTATCGCTGTTTCTTGTATATGTATATTTACATTTTCGAAAAAGATTACAATTTTCGGCTGCATACAAAGTTACTTGTTTTCAGTATAGTCCTGCTAAGACTATGTGTGCTAAAGTACAGAAACTTACTTAAGAAATCCATCCGTACGTAATTACTTCCTACACAATCCTAGACTCGAACCCAGTACCGTTTCCTTCAAACGCCATAGCGTTATCCATATAGTTACTGAGTTCAGACAACCACTGGATTGTGCAATAGAGAGGCACAGATGCATCCATTCATTATCTTCCCCAAATTCTGAGATTCAAAATTCCCCACAACTTTTTTTGTTTTTATTTCACTAGTTTATATTTTCTTCTCACGTCACACCGTCAATGCCTAATATTTCCTAATACCACTAATACTGTTACTACATCTGCTATTCAAGGATTTGGTCTGACAACTTGATATCTATGTGCTAATAAGATATGGCAACCTGGACCGATGTACATACAAACAGGTTCCAAGTGTATGACTGATATATAAATAATTTAACCTCTCATATATATATATATATATATGAGAGGTTAAATTATTTTTAGAAAACTTAGGCCGTTACAAAAATTATGAAAATGATTTTTTTATATTTCTATGAATACAAACATTTTCAGCCAGCAATTAGAGAGCCAAAAAAAACCCGAAAATGATGAACACATTATTTCTTTGCTGACAATGAGCGGAAAAAGAAGAGAGGTGGTCAGTTAATGAAATAACACTAAGGTATAAACGACAGATGAATAGGACTGGCATCCGTCAGATCACCATGACCACTTTAGTTGAAGTCCTAGGGATCGTGCAAGCTAGTGGCTTCAGACATTGTCATTACATAGATCAGAAAAAAGTTCAGTGGAAATCCTATCATGGTTTGTTTGGCATTCTTCATAAAATTGAGACGTAGTCCCCTAACTGCAAGAAGGCTTCCTTGGCTCCATTGATGACTGAACTGCATCTTCTTTTAAACACGATTGTCATTCACCAATCTCTTCAGTCATACTAATCTATCTCCTTTTATTTTTTCTCAATGTTATCTTTTATTTTTATGTAGAGCAGATCATTTTTGCTGAAGAGTTGTATCAGAGTGTATGTACATTAAAGAAATCAATACTAATGTCTAACTTCAATCGATCCATAATCTTGTGCAACGCTTCATCCATTGTATGAGGTGGATAACTGCTTCACACACGACACGGATTGGACTCCACCGATCACGGGTTCTCATTGGAACTCCAGGAAACCCATTCTGAAGCTAGTAACTAATGTGCACATGATTATTATCAGTATGGCGATTTTTGGGGATTGTAGTATTTTTAGTCGAATTCACAAGTCGATCTAAGCTAGACCATCATTGAAAACCTGAAAGCAGAAGACGCCCGTTTTGTCCCAGTATGGGACTCCTCGGTAGTGCGCATCCACAACCCGGCACGCTGGAGTCGAACTTCAGACCTTAGATTTCTCACGCAAACGCTTAAGCTGTAGACCATCAAGTCAGAATCCAACGGTGTTAATCAATACATGATCCATGATCTTGCATTGCTGAGGAGTCCCATACTAAAACGAAACAGCGGTCCAGTGTTTTAAAGTTATCAATGGTGATCTAACTTAGATCGACTTGTGAATTCAATTAAAAATATTACAATCCCCAAAATCGCCATGCTGATAACAAATATTAGTCTGCATTTGTGATTCTTTAACCGACCAAATCTTTTATAGAATGATGAGTTGGAATCAGTTAGTTTGTATTGCTAAAGAATGATACGAATAATTTTTAATTGATAATACCTTTTATTACACTGTACTAGCAGAAGAAAACTTGAAAATAGTTTTTAATTGTCTTCAGTAAAATAAATAGGAACGAAACCTGAAGTTTAATATTTGGAATTAATAAACTTACATCACATCATACCATACCACGTACACATTTATACACATAGCTACAAGTCTTATTCCAAATGTGAGAGACAGTGATAATAGCCGGTTTCTCAATCCGAGATAGGTGGACGGAGTTTGAACCAATAACTACTACAATACTTTATCATTAGACAGTATTTAAACTATACTTAAAGTGCTGTATAATTGTAACTACTTTCATCATGACAAACACTAGGTCTGACGGTGTTTTGTAAAACGATACTCCACAAACCAAGTCTACACTAGCGAAATTGCTAATTTACATTGACCATGAACTACAAAAGCCGAAGTGATGATTATCCACTGCTATGATGGTAAGGTCATAAGTTGTTCAACAAACATTATGGCTTAGTATATCTTTTTCCTTATAAAATCACCATACTAAAATAAAAACTTAACAACTTTCGAAGATAGTCTTCAATTCAAATAATTCAGTTCTACATAACCATGATAAACTGACACTCTGGAATGCTCCCTTCGTTATAGACCAATATTACTAAGCGCTATCATAACGAAAACTAAATCATGACGAAGAGAATATTCACAAACAATGAAGTTTCATTTACTAAACCAATTCCTAATATTCTTTTTATTTGTCTTATTCAAACACAAGCGTTGGTACAAGGAGGCACCAAATACATATGCACCATATAAATCATTCGATTTTTGAAAAGGCTGGAATACTTTCCAGTGCCACTCTTCAAGCCTTTGACCTAGAGGTCTAATCCACAAGGCAGTGCAACAACGAAAGAAGGTGCAGTCCTATGGTAGCCGGTGACTAACAACCGGTTCATATGCCATTTGTTCCCTCAGGATCCTGAAGCCCACATGCACCACTGGCTTGGAATTTAGGTTTTACAACTCCCCTAGGTGGATCCTCCATATCCACCAATCCTGTTAAAGCACCGGACATTCACTTTCGCCTCTTAAGTTCGTAAACAAAAGTAATGCCGTGAGAAGGCAGTGAGTAGGACTTCCATGGCAGTGGCTGTATACGCGTGGCCATGTAAGAGCTGACTCTCCCCACCCTCGGCCGTACCAGGGCATTTGAGAGCAATTCATATTCGAGATGACTGTTACAAATACATCTATATCAAAAACACATTAGAAAAAAACGCACCTTCAACAGCTGTAGTTTTATTTTCCATGTAGGCTGTTGTTGATGTAGAACAGGTAGAGATGAATAGTTGGAAACTTGTGAATTGTCATGATAAACCATATCATCTTCATTTCTCAGTTGAATATACCCATCGGAATCAGTTATTACATCATTGTCATCAACAATCTCAGCTAAATCGTCATTATGACATGCATTTGTAGGAAGAGAAAGAAACTACGTATATTGAATGGATAATACAAGTGTTTGCTATTAAACAAAATATGAAAAATATTCCTTGCACAAAGTAGTCACTGAATAATTAAGATGTACTCCAGTAATTTCCAAAAAATATGAAATCCAAGAAATATACTTCATGTTGTTTAATGTTCATCAGTAAGAAGTACGCTGAATATATAGTTTCTGTACGCTGTACCTACTGGCATTACGTAAATCCTGAAATGCACACGTTTTATTGATACACATTAACTACTTTTTCTTAACGAGTAGTTAAGATAAAATATAAATACTTTTGGAACTTACTGTGCTCTGGCTCTTCACTGGTTACCAATGCATTTATCCTCTCTGTTGACATCGTGGAATTGTCCGATGAAACGATAGGGTTGAAACACAGTCGAAATTTTTCATGATGAGGTCTGTCTAGAACGAAGAAATACCTAAGGGAGAATTGTTCGTAAGTATATATTAGTTGTTTGCAATTATTACTATACTTATTATAATCATTTATAAAATGGCTATCAGAATGTTCTCCGTATTGATAATGTATCCTTAGAACTAAAACTGTTGCAAATTATTAATCTTCCTGTCATATGTTTTTAAGTAAGCAGTGGGATGTAGTGATATTGCATGATTACGGTATATTTCCACTGCATGTGGAGATTTTACTATTCTCTTAAAAAAGAATCCACATTGTACTCCAGGATCTTATTTCGGATGTAGTGTACATCACTACCAAATCAACTACCTCAATGGTCAACATCATACTGTCTAATCGATAAATGTAGAACTATGTGAAATAAAAAGACCATTGTGCTGATTTTCAATAATAATAAATGGCAGACATAGATTGGTGCAGAATAGCATGAATTCATTTTATTTCGTTAGGTTTTCATTAGTTGCTTACAACTTATGATATTTGAAGTCAAAGTTATTACAAATAGTGACATACATATAAATACGAAGGTAATTAGAGATGAATATGTGTATCATGACGTTGCGAAGATTCCAATAGAGTAAATAAGGTCATAGTTAATTTTCTTTTCCCAAAATGTGAGAGGTAAAGTTCCAGAACATCGAACTAGTAATTAGAAATCATAGAGTTAAAAAACACTAGACGGTTGTGTAATGAAGTAACTAGAAACAGATTAATAGTAATAAAGAAGGATATGAATTGAAGAAAAATGATGATGACGTAATCAAACTTTAGAAAGAGTTGATATAATGAATGATGCAGTAAAAAAATGTGATGTTACCAGGACAAAGAAAAAGTTATTACTTCTTCGTTTTGTATACACAAATCCGGTTTTAAACTTTCAATCACTATCGCCTACGCGAATTTCAGAAGATTATAACTCGACTGTTTATTTCTCACCTTGAAGGATTTCAGTGTACCCACTTGATATCCTATATCGAGATGTCTTGAGATGATACTGTTGAATGCTTTTAATCCACTTAACTCAAACTTTTTAAAATATGTTCTTTGAATCGGACGTAGGCTCCCCGTTTTGTCCTACTAATATAACTGATTCGGAAGATACATGTTAATCTGTATACACAGTTAATGGTAACATGTAAGGGATACCTATTGATCTTTGTGTTAAAGAACATGTTATTTTGGACAAGACAATCAGTTAAGCTGCAAGGTAAGCTCCTGTCAATGCGGTTTTTACTCTTTTTTTGATTGATCCTGTCACATCACTTTTGAATTTAAGTTGATTTTAAAATATTATAGGTTGCAAACATCTGATGAGAACTTAACGAAAATGGATTTATATTATTCTGCACAAATCTTTGTTTTTGCTTTCTTTAACAATAAATTTCTTAGTTCCAGTAGTTATATCTAATAGATGTTAGGTAGTTGGCGGCAACTAGATATAATTTATCATGTTTAATTCAAAATGGGAACTAAAAACGCATTGAGATGTTTGATGATTTCTCAATAGAAAAGGACACTAAATCCAGTTGCTGACCTCATTAAAGTTGAAATCCATAAACTGACTGTTTCAGTTACATTACATCTATACAATCAAATGATAGACGACTACTTTTTGATACAAAAAGAGAAACAAATGAGATAGATATCTTATAATAATGCCATATATGTCTGACTTTAAACTAAATGTACGCAGATAATAAATCGAATGTGACGTAGCAGACAAAAAACAAAGTAATTTAGTACCTAACAATAGTATTTACGCTTAATATTCCGTGTATGCGTAGTAATCAATTATTTAACTTGATGACCAACAACAACTTTATATACTGTTCCCGGCTAAATTTAATGTGTGAAGGCGAGATATGTGATAGTGTGGTGTGAGCCTCTTATGTGAACAGATACAGATAGTATATAGTGGAATGCTTACCAGCAAAAGACCGAAATAAAGAGAAGGAAGACAGACAACAATCGGAATAGCGACAGAATTAGAAGAATGATGGAGTGTGTAAACGACAATTGAAGGAAGGTGTGCAGATGATGTACTCAATGTATGATTTTTATATTTTACAAAGGCAATGTGTGATTTTCATGAAATAATAAACTGGTTTGCAGTACCAGAGTTTTCACTCACTACATTGGTAGTAAAACCCAATAACTTCAAAGAAAGTCAGAAACGTTTATACAACGATTAAAGGAGAAAGAGAAAAGCATCAAAAAACCGTTACATTATGCATATACCTTGAAACTTGCAACTTATTTATCAGGTACAAATCTTTGTGATTGGTTTAGAGTCGTACTAGAAATGTGTTAAGGGCAAACGATACTACCCGGTTGTCTAAGTCGAGGTAGATAGAACGGGACTCTAACCAGTGGTCTAGAGGCCGAAAATTGGACACTTCAATCATTAAACAATAACTGTATTGGATGTATTTTATTAACATTTTTATTACTTCTACTGGACTAATTAGATAGCGTTTTATAAAGGAATAGAAAGGAAGTTCGCCTTTTATTACCTCTCAGTAATAAACGGATTTTAACAGAAAGAAAGTGATATGAAAAGCCCTTCCAAACTACTGTTAGAAAGGTTTTAAATTATTTAGTTTTGAATTGCTTTTGTTAATAAATGGTAGTTCTGACAAATAAAGGAGTTTTCGATAGACTTCTTTCAGCACATATTATTATCTATCTGGTCACTTTCGTTTTTGATCTACTATTTTTGTTCCGCATCCCAAGGTCAAAGTTGTTGCTGTGTATAAGAAGAATTACTGTACCATGATGTTGACTTTTTGAATATCACGCTTTTCCTGAATTCCTATTTTAAGAAATCAAACACACAGTAGATTATTATTATCAGTGTTTTAAGAAAGCTCCCTAGAAGTACATGTAAATCCCAGTTGCATGAACAGACATTTTCGGTCGTTTGTAATTCAGAAAAGTTGTGAGTTATCTTAATATAAAACAATCATATAACAACTTACACTAACAATGTAGTACATGGAACCACAATGACAATACATAATGTAATTTCCGGTGTAGTTATTGATGTCAAACTAACATAATAAAGTGAACCAATCAGACCGGCTGCACCAGTTCCACATGCCCAAGCCGAAATACAAGATCTAGAGAAAAGTTCGTCCACCCCACCCCCAAATAAAAAATCGTCAATTATTTTAAATCACATACTGATGAAATCATAAAATAGTAATGTATTTTGTATATGAGATCAAAGAGCAAGTTGAGTAAGCAAGTAATCAACAAACACAAAATAATTGATAAGGTGACTAATGAGACAAAGGCGTATAGAATCCCTAGAGTAGATAAAACCCTACGTGTTTGTAATACGATCATTAAGCTAAGTGATTACTCCCGTTTTTTATGAAGGATGGTTTTATGACTCCATGTAAAAGATGTTTAAAAATTGTTCAATGAATGAAAAGAATCCTGATCGACAGAAGAAATGTAATAGTATGATAACAGATCGCAATACTGGATTATTATTGCAAATCCCAGCACGAGCTGACATTAAAGACAATATTATTAGCCGAGAAAATAGGTGTTTTTACTCAATAAGATAACTTACTTACACGCAAACTGTTGACAAAAAGATGAACGTGACTAGATACCATAGAAGAATGAACGAAATCAGTTTTATAGGTCACGTAATCTTCAATGAATTATGATCTGAATATTAGACCAAAATTTTTGTCACATCAGTATTACAGTAAATTATGACTTATGTCAGAAACTTAGACGTAGTCTCAAACGAGTGGATTTTACAAGTCAACTGTAACAGTTAATCTAATCTACATCAATGGTTTACATTGTGATGTTATCTGACTGAAGGTAGTCAGTAAGAAACTCTAGAACTATGTTTCGTGATGGTTGAGGTTCATCAACAAGGTTTGCCTGGAACCTCGAGGGAACAGATGATTTTTTTTCAAATACGAATACATGTCAGCCATCTTCATGGACTGAGATGATGCCAGTGAACTACTCCAGTCTCGAGTAACTTTTTACAACAGGTGTAGGTAATGTATAACTACAGGCATCAAAAGCAAAATATGTTACCAACTGGATTTCATTACCCGGATGGCATGTATGGAGTGGACTACGAAAAACTATGGCATTTTGACAAATATCAGAAATCTGTAAGTTTCTAAACGTGGGATCGCCGATGGACCTTGATAGACAATAATCTCAATGAAGCGTAAAACGAAACAATTTGATTCAGTTTAAAATTTGTCATTTTTAGAACTTCAACAAGATTTGCACTTGCTAATAAGACCAGGGAAACAAAGCTCTCAAATGCCCTGGTACGGCCGAGATTGGGGAGAGTCAGCTCTCTCTCGAAATGCTATCACATGGTTACGTGTATACAGCTACTGCCATGTCCTACTCACTGCCTTCTCACGACATTGCTTTTGTTTACGAACTTGAGAAGGCGAAAAGTGAATGTCCGGTGCTTTAACAGGTTTGGTGGATATGGAGGATCCACCTAGGGGAGTTGTAAAACCTAAATTCCAAGCCAGTGGTGCATGTGGGCTTCAGGACTCTGAGGGAACAAATGGCACATGAACCAATCATTAGTCGCCGGCTACATTGAGACTGCGTTTCCCACCGTTGCTCCACCAACTTACAGATTAGACCTCCAGGTCAAAAACTTGAGGAGTGGTCCCTAAGGGAACCATGTGCCTCGGTTTGAGCACCTGGATAGTATCCCAGCCCTTACACAAATTGAATGATTTATGTGGCGCATATGTATTCGGTACCCCGTTGTACCAATGTGTACGTGTTTAATTAAAATAAAAAATACGGTAAATATGGAATATAAATACATAACCCAAAGCCCTCCGAAGCTAATGTTTGTCCACAGCTCGAATAAACAAGGGCTGAGAGAAGAGTTTACGATCCAATCTCGTAAAAAGAAACCCACTAAAAAGTCGTTAGTCAAAGAAAATCGATTAGATACAATGTCGAAAGCTGATTAGCATACTTGTTAAAGAAAGCTACCATGCTTAAGAAAGTAACATCTCCGATTCCTGAAGATAAACTTGCCGACACAATCCCTAAAAATATTTTTCAGAAAGAAAGGAATCAATTAACAATGAGTTAAGATCATAAAAAAGAAATATGACAGTTTCTAGTTGGTTTAATTAGTTACTTATAATCTATTTCACTCATCATTATTACAGAATACACCACGATCCATACTCACTATTTGCATATGTGAATAGAATACCAAATATGTTCATTATCTTCAATCTCATAAAAATCGTATTCACCACAAGATACATTATATACAATATAAGCAGATGACATACATTTTCAGAAAGGGATTTACGGATATTGTACATAATATATTTTACTAGCGCGTGAAATAATATAGCACATAAATTTTGTCTTGGATGTTATTGCTAGTTACTACCAAACTAAAAAACACTAGTGATTAGACGGAAACATTGAGGCAACTAGCTCAGGATGCACGGAGTCGGTCCGCTGCAATTCTTAGCATCAACAACCCTTGGAAACAAAACAATTTCAGTTTGCCTATTTGTTCCTTAATATTACAATGTTTCAAAACTTTTATGATACGTCGAACAATTAACATAAATACTTTCTTCATTGATATTATTCAATTAATCAATAAGAAAATACTATTATCAGTAGTTTCAGCCAGTAAGTTATGACTAAAGTAGGGCTAATAAAACCATACTTTTACGAATTATGTTCCCTACATGATCTTTTGCTCAGATCCCAATTTCGAAAGAAACAAAAATTAAACTGACCACATTAAGCCGAAAATGCTTACCAAAAAGACTCGTAGAGAAAGACTGAGAAAATGAAACCATCAGAAAACTATTAATCGCCAGTAGGACAGCGCATAAAATTTTAAAGCTAAAAAAAAGAGATCGGCAGGCTGTTAAGAGCAAATATCCCCCAACAAACAGCTTACGTAGGAAGTATCTAACTTATTATAAAATGAAAAACCAAGCAATTTCAAAAGGACCTGCTAAACTTAAATGTTACTTTCTAGATTGAAGCTAGACATAACAGAAATTTAATGCGGCTATCATAACAGCCGAAAGCTTACAGCTACCGGATGCTGAAACATAATATTTTATCGTACACTAACCGTAATAGTTAATACAATCTCAACAGATACTACAATCACTCTCACTAAGATTTTAACTGATTAAAAGTAGTCGGTAAGAAACTCTAGATACTGATAGCTGGAGCTTGTCAACAAGGTTTGTTTGCAACCCTAAGGGCATTGATGCTCTCCGTTGGATTCGGATCGGTGTCACCCAACTTCATAATATGAGACGTTACTGATGAGCTATTCCTGCCATAACTGACCTCTTTCAGGAGGTGCAGGTGATTTCATGTCACTCAGACTAATGAACGCAAACCGACTGGACAAATACAATGATTGTGACTGCCCAATGATCACGGTAGATTATGGATTACTTTGCATGTTCAAGGAAACTGGATTATAAGTTGAGGTTAAACTACTTTAAAGAAAGGACTTACTGGAAATGAAGTTTTTGTATGAATATTGGAGAAATAAACTTGAAAATCATACTCGGAAGTATATCTGCCAACAGGACACTCTATAAGAAAGAGTTAAAAACAACAAAAACATACTCCCGTCCCAATCTTTGTACAGTTTATGTGATATGTACTGACGTTCGTAGTGAATTCGATCTGTGACTATGAAATGAAAGGATAAGAAATATGAAGTTGATTCGAAATCAGTTAACAAGTATTATTTGCAATTGGTTAAGAAGATTCAATACATAGTTTATATATCCTACTGTAACTACATTTCAAAAAATCGCAACTGAGTAGTTACGAAGCTTTCCGGTTCATTTATGCGTAAATGAGAACTTTTACGTTATGCTGCTGAAAAAGTCCGCTAACACCAAAAGGATTAACCACTTCGCAAAATCAGTATAAAGATGATCTGGAAAGACGAACTGACTTGTTTCCTAATCGACCAAACTTTCAATGATTGAAATTAGATCCCGTGGAATATATATTTTGAGCCAGTGTTATTCGTGTCCTCGAATTAGTTGGGTTAAACTGAATGACTCCAGTTAGAGTAATTGAAAGGAAATAATTTCGCTAATAATTTTTATATGGAATAGTTTGAGCTAAATTTCTTGCCAGTTCGTGCTTAAGGGTGTGGAAAGGATCAAAGGCGTAATAGTCCCAGGTTTGAACCCCACTCAATCAATTTCCTTTTAAGCTACTGGATAGGATCACTAAACCTCAAGCGCAAATAAAGGCATAAACGTTTACGCTATAAAAAAGAGGAATACAAACGTTATCATCCTCAACTAAGCCAAAATCTAGCTAAGGAGATAGTGCAGCGGATTTATATACTCGGCTTTGTAACATAATTATTACTTTGTGAGGGATTACAATACTAAATTGGATGGGAGAGGTTGGACACAATCTAATTATCGTAGCATTCTAACAAATAAAGTACTCTCAACAATGACTTCACTGAGACAACAATTCATAAATACTTTCGCAAAAAACCGTCTTACATCTTTTTTTTGTATAATATCCACAGCTGCACTTAGCATAATAACATATGAGAAATTATTACCCAAACCGAAACACCTGTGACGGATTTCCAGTTTTATTTAAACGATATATTAATTACCAAAAAGCTAAGTAATTCCGAAGTTTCCAATGATTGCAACGGTGACGATATCTGCAACACTCTGAAAATTTATTTTAAATACCGTCACACATCGAATCGGCAACTACCAATCGGCATCTCGGAATAGATATATTACTTATCAGAGAGAAGTGGATGCACAAATCACATAAAATATTGGAGACAAGTGGATCAATTCATGAATGGAAAAGACAAATTACCCCTAAAACGTGTGAAATTCGGTAGGAACAATCTTTAAATAACAAATAACAGTTTGGTGGTTAATATCAGATACGTATAGGGGCATAAGTCATCGGAGTGGAGGCATCAAACTGAATTCATTAAAACTTGTGCCGTTGAAACACGAAGTCAACAAGGATGTTCAGCGTACGACCTTGAACACGTTTCAAGTCACCCTGTACATTTTAAGCCAGTGCAATATCCAATATCGTTGGCACGTGTTTGCATAACCCGATCGTTTTCTTTGTGCTCGCTTCTTATTGTCCGATGGGTTGTGGTATAGCTACTTCACTGCACATATCTGAGTCAATTTGATAGTTATTCTAAGATTTGTATATCTTGTGGTTTGAACGAGTGCGTCCGTTTCAGCAGTAGGAATGCCGGATATCAGCAGATATCACATTACCAGACAATGGGTTGACTGGTTGCGATGTAAAAAGTTGTGAAGATTTTTCGAATGCCAAAAGTGGACGATTGTTCCAAGAAAGAAATACTTAAGTTAAGTAACTGGTAATGTGTGGGAAGACGGAATTGGAAGAGGGAGAAGTGAAAAGGAAGTCACAAACAAAGGGGCGAGAAGTAGTTATTGATGTACGGTAATGATAATCGAGGTAATTTATTGTACATACACGAGACATAGTTGGTTCAAGAAGCTGATGGTAATCCATGTGGTTATGCGCTTGTCAAGTCACCTCTTAATGCTATCCACTGATAGTCCTGTGGTCACTGTGGCTGGGAAGACATTCCAAACGGAGTAACTCTTATTGAAACAAACTGAAAGCATGTCTGGGTGTTTGCTCTTTGATTGCAATCTTCCGAAGGTTGCGTCGAGGAGTGGGGTGATTAAGTTCTGGTCAGAGGCTCATTTTGAAGTGGCTTGGCGTCATAAAGTTGTGTGTGACCATCAGCTCACCTCTTATTATCCTGTAGCTCAACGACAATAATACCTATTGTTGAAGTCTGTCCTTCGAAGGTCTATGTTTTGAACATATAAATCAATTTGCTGCCCGTCTCTACACTTGATCTAAGAGATCTATATGTCTTTCGAATAGAGAGGGCACAACGACATTTTGAACTTCAAGATGTGGGTCGTGTGTATGTTTTAATTGGTGTTAGGAATAATTCTAAGATGATTCCGCAAAGTTTTTCCCGCATAAAATGGAGACTCGCGTTCCCCTTGGTTACACCTCCAGTGTCTAATCTTGTCGTGGTTACAAATCTGAGACAATGGGAACCGAATTTCTCGAAGGATGCTGGTGCTTTGTGTCAAGTAAGGCAGAATGTTCATGACATGGCATTTCGACAGGTTAGATTTTAACCCATTGTCTAATGCCCATTCTTCTATTGTTGTATAGTACTTTTGAAGCTCAAGTGAATAATTTTAGTTTCTTATGGAAATTCAGACCCTTGTATCAACTCCATAGATCAATACCTCCTATCTAACTTTATCTAACAGGTCGTTGATAGAGATCAAAAAACAGGAGTGCACCTAAGGTTATGTGATAATTAGAAATATGAGAACTGATGCGCTAGCTAAGAATTCGCGAAATAGGACAGTTTAAGACAGGTACAAATAGATTGGCACAAATGAACATATTATATTCGGAATTCGGAATCGGCGGGCAATCATGTATAGAAGTATTATTAGTTCGTTGTTCCTTGCGAAACTCCTGATGTTGACACCTTTGGACTTGAATGTACTCTATCTAACTTGATACAAAACATACTCTTCTCTAGGTATTTTTGGAGTCAAGACAAATGTCGGTAGATGAAACCCTTGGTCATGAGAAATGGAAGAGGCATTGTGCCAAAGGCTTTCTACAAAATCGAGACATCACACGAACCGCTATCTTACGTTACCAGCAGGTCGTCAAGTTTTCAGATACTGTGGGTAGATTGGGCTTACAAGACCTACATTTCCTGAACCCGTGTCGGGTTACGTGCAGGTTGTTGTTTTTACCCAAGTATTCCTCCATTTGTTCATTGGCCAGTCTTTGAACAGTTATGCTGACGAAAAAAGTATCACATCCAACATCCAATCTTAGTGATCACTTGCATGAACCGATTGATTTCTTTGATCACGTCCATGTAAGTTCGGGCTTGACATCCCTCAGAGGAAACTTTCCGTTCTGCCCGTCACAGGTTTTCCGTGCCTCACCTAAGTCACGACGGCATCGTTCTAGGTGTTTCCGGTTCGATGAATGCCGTATAAGATAGCTTTCTGAAGAACATAAGTCACCAACTTCCAGTAGTTATTCACCCTCTTAGCCATGGGGTGTGTTGAAGTTGCTCTCCAATGGCCATGTAGTTTACCGTAGTGTAGCGAGGGTAAAGAACATTCTTACCATCTTGAAAAACCTCAGTTGTGACCACGTTGGATATGTTTGTGCCGCTGTCATTGCTTCCCATTTGTGTTTGGACATAAACCTCTTCGACTAGAAGCTGGTCATTTAACAGAAGGTAGACCGGCAAGCAGACGTATGAATTGTGTCTTATGGACTACTGACCAGGTTAAAATCCTGTCAAAGCTTGAATTATCACTGACGACAGCTTTTCTAATAATTCTTGCACACGTGACTCCTTGGTTGTTACGCTGACATTTTATGGATGAATACATAAAATCTCAACCTACCGCACTTTTGCTGTACCTATAGAGTACATTGTATATTTTCCAATGAAATTTTGCAGATATATACCACACAAGTAGCTATATATATCTGTAGAACTATGGTCTACTATGATATTAGTACTGCTCTAATAATATACGTAATCCTAAATTTGTAGATTTGTCATGATATAACTGCCTAATCTATAAGATCTTACACGGAAGTCACATCATCGTCTACACCAACTCACTGTATCGTAACACTACCAATACCTGACGAAGAACAAGCTTAGGCTAGAGAAAGAACAATATATTTAATATGAATAAAAGATATAAGGTAATATTCAGCAGGGACCACGCCCGCGTGGCTGAGCCATGCCATTCGATCAATTCCAATTAATTTAATTCATTGTTCGCGCCTTCTCCATTGTTAGGTATTTCTCCGTGTTGGATATTGAATATCTACTTTCTGAGTAGTGTTGTGTTCAGCTTTGAAGATTGTGTGGTTATGGTCCAATGCCACTACATATCTACCTAAATACACGGATTTTCTTCACATTTGCTTCACAAATAATTTTCACTTTACGCTTCCCGGAGTTTGTACACTAGCAGTCCAATCTACTTTTTTCATGAGTAGCATCGCAGGCATGCTTTTATTGAGAAAGATGTTACTGAGGATTATGTGATAAGAAATATACAAACCACGACAAAATTATCTTGTAGTTAAGGTTGACTGTACTAAAAGCACCCTGACTGTTACATAACAACTTTGAACCACAGCGTACCTTTAGAAGAAAATGGAGTAATTCATCGTTGCTGCAAAAGCAAGGTATGAATTATTGTCAAAATAAGTGAAGGGGAAAAAAGACACCTGATTATGTACTATTTGTTCCTTACCGAAAAATTCCTGTTTTTCATCCCCTGTCAGTTCCAGACGTAAATACACATGCATAAATACACATGAAGTTAATCTAGGAATGATTTTTTGTACCAACATATAAATATCGATAACGTACATCTATATAATCTAGGCTGTGGCTGACCTTGATAGCTTTGCCCGTCCTGTCTTTCAACATAGTAAACACTTGTTTACACGTCGATTCATTATTCCAAATCATGGACGCAGGTTGCGGCGTTGTTCACATGACGAGTGCAAAGTATTTTTCTTTTTTTTCCGTATTCGTGTTAGGTTAACTGAGTAACAAGGTCAATAACAACATGAAAGTTCGGGGATTAGTTCCAAACATCGCGCTTAATGCGGTCCTTTTTCGATTTACATTATTTTTCACATCTGGTTTTCATACGTCAAATCCGAATTCCGAAGACAATTCAGGCGATTTTCACTATATCAGAAGATGATTTACCATCTATTTGATACGTCATAATATGTATGTATTTTCATCTAGTGTAGCCATACATATTGTTGCGTATAACCAACACTCTCAAACCCGTTTTGATATAAAACCCTGAATAACTCCATACGACAACATACTAACATGGGTGTGTTGGTTCTGAGCGAAGCCTATAAGATTCAATATTAGTTTTCGTTATGACTATCGCCGTTACATATCTATAAATATGAATAAGCTAACTGCCGTAACCTCCTACGAAGTCCATATAACTTCCGTTAGGTTCTTAACTGTAGTTTCATAAGTCATGCCTCGGATTTTTAATGTAATGACATGTACTACTAATTTTTATATACCTCATCAAGTCACACTTTAAATTAGTTTACACATATATTATATTACACTATCACTATGCCATTCGAGTTCGACTGTTATTTGAACCGCTCGAATATTCTCCTCTAAACCCACCACATCCCTCTAGGATGTATTTGTTTGGGTTTGTGAGTTCGGCTATCATATTAGTTGAATAAGAAAACGACTCACCTAGTTAAGATCATAGGTGAAAACAAAGCCACTCCATTAAGATATTAAAGCACTAGACAAATGTAATAATGATTTAGTTGCTTTTAATACAAGTGTTCAACACGTTCAAATCTGGCATTAAGTTAAGGAATATTTCCACGTCATAATTTGTAATAAATCAAGGCAACTCAGATTTAAAATTATACAAACCCTCGCGAATTTCTAACACTTGAAAATCATTCAATGTGCACTTATTTTCAACCACTAAAAGTATTGAGCATCTAAAACAACTTTACCTATTTCCTACTAGGTAATTAGAGAACAATACTATTATTATTTATTCTTAAATATTTATGGATATTTTCACAAATCATTTTCACGACTTGACATTCACATAGCATGACTGGTGAACTTGGTGAAACGTTTGATACAAACTGTGGCAAGAAACCGGCCGATAATTACGATTAAACGGTGTTGTCTTTTTGTGGCTATCTTTATCTAAAAAGGGCTATGGTATATTTTGCTATCAGCCGCTCATGCAGCAAACATATAAGAACCTCTTCAATTTATTTGGTGGTCTAGTGATAGAATCATTAGTGTAGATCATCGTTGTAAAGAGTCAAGAGAATCTTCCGCAAACTGAAAATATTGCTGTCAAATTTACCCCAACAGAGAAGGAAATTCTCGCCATTATCATAAA